AAATTAAAAGCCCGGGGTCTGGCGCTTATCTTGCTGAGTGGATGAAAGACTAAAGGAAACGTGGCGGTGTTGATAACACATAAACGATGGTGTGATTTTGCTCATATGAACCTTTTACTTTGGGTTAACATAGGACGCTGAGCCACCAGCAGCTATGACACAACATAATAATTTATCAAAGGTTTATTAAATATTTCATTGATGTTAAAATAATTATTCAGTAATGTTTAGTTACCAGTTTATTGGGAAAACAAACAAAGGAAGCAGAAATGTGGTGATTCGGTCGTTGGTGTGACTCAGGTTTCCCGTTATCTGTCATCATCCTTCCTGTTTATGCGTCGCGATATCTCACGCTACAGATCACAGAGATACCTGACGATGAAGGCGATCAGGATGAAGCTGTGCTATCTGTACGTCAGTACCTGTTCTCCGTCCACTCCGCTCAGCCCGTCCTCTCCGTCTTCGCCCTGCGGCGGTGGAAGAAAAGTCTTCTGTGAGACTTTATCAGGATGTGAGTGTTTGTGCTTCCTCCTACATTCCTGAGTAACTCACCCTTTCTCCTCGCAGCCCTCTGAAGCCCTGCAAACACACAAACGCACACACATCATCAACATCGACTTCTGGCAGATCTGCTCTGGGACATTTCAGCGGCACTGCTTTACCTTCTGTCCTCTGATTCCCGAGCATCCCTGGACTCCCTGAGGTCCGCTCGGTCCAGGTAAACCTCTCCCGCCCTGCGACACACAGACAGAATGAGCAGCGACGCAGCAAAAGACGCAGATGATGGTTTATGATTCACGTTTGAGCAGCTGGCAGACAGAGTGACGCTCTTGGTCTGTTTTGACTCACAGAGACGACTTTCACAGATGTTTATCTCTTTATTTAAACGTCTTTTTTGTCCTCAACAACAATTCAAAGTGACGTAAAACTGCAGAGAAAGACTCATAATGGAGACGCTGAAACAACAAATATATTTTCTGTGTCTTTAAGTCCAGCAGCATATCTTCTGAGAGTAACCAGAGACGCTGTTGGTTTGAAGATGATGAGGCATGTGTGCAAATGATGTGTATGAAGGAAATGAAGAAGCACTTACAGCGAGGCCCTCCTCTCCGGGGAAGCCGGGGTGACCCTTCTGCCCAACTGTGCCCTGTTTTTAAAAATACAGGTGACGGTTCAGTGCGAAAAAAGGAGAAGAGAAACCTTCAAAAGCCAGAAAGACAGACAGCTTCATGCCTCCATGCTTCCTAATGTTCGCCTGCTGCTTCACTAAGTCTGAGTAAGGTTTGAAGAAAACCCCCAGGAAGCATCCAGTTCTCCCCCTTTCCTGTTTTTCCTTCTTCTTTTTCCTCTTTCAAATATTTTCTCTTCTATATACTAATCCGACATTCCTCTGCCCCCCCACCACCTCCCTGTGTAACAGTATATCTTTAACACTGGAATCAAGTCTGCTCCTGCTTCACTTTGAAATATCAACCCGGCCACTTTCTAACTATGAAATCACTGAAAGCGTCTGTTTGGTCTCAGAGCAGTCCGGCCTCTTTAATGCGTCTGGCACAGTCTTTGTTATTCTGTTTGGACTTAAAAGGCGTGAATATTTCAGTTCACCTTTGACCCTGGGGGGCCCCGAGAGCCACGGATGCCTTCATGTCCTGAACATTTGCACATGACGTTGCAGCACTCCCTGTTTGACACGGCGTCCTGCAGAGAGAAAGAGACACACACTCTTTAAAGATTAAGTTAAAGAAACAGGAAATCTGAGGTTTATCTGTCCAT